AAAAGAAGATTGTATCATATGTACAGGTATAAATACATATAGTAATGCCTATTTAACATTTAAATAGTATTCTGATTGATTGGATTGTATGACACCATATAATGAAATGAAAAATTTATAAGCCAAGAGACCAGTGATAGCCAAAGAAATATATATATATATATATATATATATATAAGAAAATGGCAGAGACGACAGACAAAAGAAACGTAGGACAGCAGAAAAAAAGATAAGCAGATGACATAAGAAAAAAAAAAGGAAACAGCAGGAAAAGACTGGATGCAAACTTCCATAGAGAGAGACGTGGATAGTCAGTATGGACGAGCTGGTTTATGAATATGGATACTGGCGTAATTTATGAGATTTTTATATGGTTTACTGATGGATAATAAACTTAATGAATAGCATATATGTAGAATGAAAAATAAATACTGCATGGTCTAAGTTGTAAGTTTTACATGTTATAGAGAATTATTTGTTGAATTATAATGGTGTTTCTTTAATTATAATGGTATTATAGTGAATACAAATTTAAGAAGCACAGGTAGTTAAAAAAAGAAAAAAAAACAAAAGGACAATTGATTGTTGTTAAATGTATGAGCATTAAAGTTTTGAAAAGTGTACATTGGTATACTAGATTTAAGTTGAAAGGATCCTATTGAACCTATAACTGTTTTAAGAGACCTTTATATCCAATGCAAATAAAATGAGAGAGAATATAAGTTATGGAAGTAAGGCTATATCTGTCAATTTAATCCCAGGAATATATAAGAAAAGTTACTAGAGGATATAAATGAAAGTTAAGATATAAGAAAGTTAAATATTGTTAAGGATTACAGTTTACAGTTATAAATTACTGTTGTAGATGGTTTTGCCAATTTCATTAATTTCTAGTTAACCTTTGTTAAATCTTGAGATATTGTATCTATTAAGATTTTAATTGATTAAAAAAAAAAAAAGAATAATCGAAGCGTATAATGCTAAATTAACGAGCATGTAAGAATTGTTGGTATACATGTTGACTCAATTGACTTGAATATGAGATTGGATGTCTTGTATTTAGACCATTGTAACTTTTGACATAATTGTTGAGTTGAAGTAAAATAAAAGTGTTAACTAAGGCTTTTAATAGTGAACTCATCAACATATAAGAATTGATGTTGTCACTTGCATTTAATAGAACTAATGCCTTGACAACATGGTCTGCTAGTAAGCAGAAAGTTACAGCCAAATACGCATTTTTTTTAAATGTGTTGTAATTAATGGGAAATTAGAAGAGGTGCTAATTTATAGAACCCAGACACCGTATACAGACACTTTAGAAATATTATGAATAAAGCGCTCGAGGTGTACAAGATAGTTACACTGCAAGATTGTAGTAAGGACGATCACAAGGTAAAATTTGATACACCTCGATGGAAAATAGTCGGTAAATATACGCGGTGAAGAGTTGTACATGAACGAATAGATCTGAAAGATTAAGGAATGCTAGTGATACAATGATGAGTTACAATCGATGACAAGCTGAATTATGAGCAAAATGGCTAATAGAACGGGCGGTTGATATGACAATGAAAAATGATTTGCAATACTTTAATGAAATTATGAATTAATATAATAATCATATGACTATGAATACGATTTATGGATTTTAAGGTAAATGATGGTGATTTAGATTTGATGATATACTGATGAGATGATTGCGCTGAGATCGCGGCTGATGGTTCCTTATACGTTAGTTCACGGAGAAAATGGGGGATCCGCGTGTGCTCAATGCGACGTACAACGAACGACTCGCTTTTTGTTGATGCTACTCAAGATTTGGTAGATAATAATAGGAGTAGGGTATGTGGTAGTAATATATTGCAAGTTCGTTCAGAAATTGATAGATATATATCAACCAGATATATAATTCGAATTTGGTACATAATTAAATTGAATTAACTTATGATTAAATGTTATAAAGTCCTTTAAAGCGTTGGAGAAATAGTAAAATGGAACCAGGAAATCCAGTTCTTAAAGAAATGTAATAGAATAAAAAGTAATAGTAAAATTTGATGGGAGTGCATATAACCCATAGTTGAGTTGCAATGTAGAGCACTTGAGGCTGAAGTAAAAATAGCATAGTACCATAAAGAATATGACTAGTTGGAGGCCGTAACTCCTTGCGTGCGCAAGCGGTGAATGCCTCATTGAGAAAATGACCAGTTGTTAAATATTTGATGTGTTTCAGTTGGAGGCCGTTGTTCCTTGTGGCGGCAAGCTGGCGCTGCGTCTAATTAGAATCTGACCAGTTTGAGGCCGTAGCTCCTTGTGTGGGCAAGCGGTGGCTGAGTCTAATAAGAATTTGACCAGTTTGAGGCCGTAGCTCCTTGTGCGGGCAAGCGGTGGCTGAGTCTAATAAAATCCAGATCTGTTGAGACCGTAGCTCGTAGTGGGCAAGCGGTGGCATTTTTTTAATGTTTTGTTTTAACAGGTATTTCACTAATTAGCTAGGCAGCCGTGTTTGCAGAGATGCTGACTAGTACCTGGTGTGAAAAATTAAGTGATACAACTTAAGGCGGAAAAATACAACAATTCTTGATGTTGAAATGTAATGTGTAGTTGTCAGTGGCAACTTTCATATTTTAAGTATGTAAATTATCTCAAACTAAATTTTATATGATTTTAATTTTATTATATTACCCGATGTTAACTGTTATGATAATATCGAATGAGGCCCTTCGATAACGTTGGATGGCCGAAGTGGCTACGAATACCATCGATTAAATATAAAGTGAATAGTAGGCTTACTAAACTCACGTTCGTTTGACGAAAGTTAGTAATTCGTTTTATGGAAATTGCGCAAGGTTTTACAACAAACTCCCAGAGTCTGTACTCAATTTGCCAGAAAAAGAAATCAAATGTGTCATAAAATATTTTCTTGGTAAAAAAAAAAGCTTATTATAAAATTGAAGAATTTATAAATGTCATCATTTATAAATCAGTGTTTTTTAGAAAATCTCTAACTTGAAATTCATAGCGCTGTCAATGTTGTCTGATTGAACGAAGATTAAGTGCGTAGCGGTTTTTATGTTGATTGCCGCATGCCTAATCCTTGTTGTTAATTAAATATAAGTAAATCAATATTTATTTAAAAGAGCAACACACAGGTTTCTTGTTTATTCTTCTTGTGATGGGACTGCGTTCCGAATAAGCGATAGATGCAAAAAATTTGACTACTCAAAAGTGCTTATATTAAGTTTATTTGAATAAAGATTATTTCTATTTCACATTAATCTGGAACAGTGGGTTTTGGTTTATGTTAAACTGGTGTTGTAAAGAAAATTGAGATCAGTATCTACAATCATTTATAGTCCCCTAAATGTACAGGGTTCAAAGGGTGCAATAGATTACTTGACCAGTGAGCTGATGGTATTATTAAGTAAATCATAACTGAAATTCAATGAATTATGTTATATTAAAATAATTCTCTGGTAAATCAAGAGTATCGTCGAAGTAAAATAGTAGTAGTAGTATTGAGGGTATTAGAACCACTGGAATAATATTGACCTGTTATTTTCTATTGGTTAGGTGAAGGCAGGCAGCGATTTTGTTCTAATTTTATGTCACGAGAATATTACTTTCTCTTTACATTTTTTTTCTATATATGTAGGTAATTAAGTTTTACCTTTTGTAATGTGATATGTTAAATTTATCCGTTAAAATATTCATGATGAGAAATGTCAAGTTCTATTTTGGAGGTATAAAAAAAAAATGCAATGTTCATAAGATCGGAAACTTACATTGTGATGGTGATATGTTACAGTCTGACTCATAGAAGTCAATCACCGCCAAATAATTGTTTGTTACTCTAAAAGGTTGTTCATGTTTGTGGGTGATTTGGATTATGTAAATTAATATATGTTATGTTATATTTTGAGCATTTCTGAATGCATGCCGAAACTTAGCTCTGTTAGTATTGATTTTAGATTGTAAACCTTTGACAGTATACTAAGATAGTCAATGTTATGAAAGTAATGTGTATCTTTAGTTTATTTAGTTTAGTATTTGTTATATGATCCTGTAGACACTATATCCATTGACAATCATGACTACGCTCATCAGTTACCTATGTGTCTGGGCCAGACACTATTGCAGGATGGCCGACTGTTAACTATCGTGTAACGCACCATTAATTAAAAATGGTAAAGTCAATAATCATGTAACCTGAAACGGAACGTCAGAGGCCATAGCCAAAGTAATCTATATGACATTGACAAGTGGATGACGGATAAGTGAACGTAGGCAGCGGGAGTTTTGGAGCGAAAGTGTTTATACTATTATAAAAACAAATAAGAGATAGGTAATTGTGAATATTGTAGGCATTGAGGTGTTTCTCTCCCTGACTAACCGGCATTACACCTAAGTCGTCAGGATACTAGTGATTTTAAAATAATCTATACGTGAGTGCAAAATTATTTACATTTAATCTATTTTAGAAAAATTGTTAGTAAGAGCACAGATAACATAATATTACATATAATTTAACCGTTGATAGTTTTCGATAGTTGTAAGTAATTTTTATTTATAATATGTATACGAATTTACATAGTGACGGTTATGCAATTAATAAGTAATAAAGACTATATAGTCTAGTAGTAGTAGTATATAGAATAGTAATTAAGACTATATAAACTAATAAAACTTAACTAATGTTGTCATAGTTCAAATCGTCATCGTCAAATCGTGGCAGCACAAGTTTAACGTTTGAATTCAATGATTGACTTAACACTTGACAATGCAAATTTTAGCGTAGTGATTACTGGCTCAATAGGGAAAGTGGAAAACCGATTTGCTAATTTATCATTCTTAATTTGTTAATCAGTAATTTTAAATCATAGCGGTAAAATCAATTTAAATTAAACTATATTTAACAGATTCTATATATTGTAAATCGATATACTCACAATAAATATATAAGTATGTTTATACCTATTCAAATAAGATGGAGTCGGTGGAGTCATAATTTTTCATTGGTATAGTTATTTTTGCATATCACTGCAAAGCCAAATTGTAATTGGGTTTCGTAAACGTATTTAAAGACCTATTAATAAAATGATTAGGCGTGATAAAAAAGATGAGGAATATCCCGGTGTTTATTTACAAAATCTTGATAAGACCATTATCCGACAGGAGATGCGATATTTTAATTCTCTACCTATTGATCCTAGAAAATGTGCACAAATCTTAATCAACATAGTTTGTTTAGTAAATCAAGGAGATAAATTGACTACACAAGATTTGACTGATATGTTTTTTGCTACTACGAAATTATTTCAATGTAACAACGTTGAGTTACGGCGCTTTGTCTATTATACTATTAAAGAATTGAGACCGCACGCACAGGACGCAATTATAGTTACTTCTTCTCTCACAAAAGATATGATTGCAAAAGAGGACATGCTACGAGCTGCTGCTATTCGAACCTTTTGTACTATTTCTGATACTTCAATGTTGCAAGGTATTGAACGTTACATAAAACCAGCAATGTTTGATGGAAATCCTGCAGTGAGTTCAGCTGCATTAGTGTCAGCATATCACTTGGCACCAGTTGTTCCAGATGTGGTTCGCCAATGGGTAAATGAGGCCCAGGTAATGTCTGATTTTTTTTATTAATATTTTAAGTCAGGTTTCTTATAGGTATATTTTTTATTTTGAAATATAACATCAATCAACAATTTTGTTAGCATGGGATAATGGAAATAAAAAAAAATTTTCACCTTGGGAAACTTATCGAGAAGTTTTATAGGTTTGTATAAAAAAATATTGTATATAATATATATGATGGAGTAGTCTGATGCATTCTTATTTGTCTATCACAGACAATAAAATTAAAGTGAGAGGTGAATATAATAATTGATGTGCCAACACTTATATGTTTATTTAAATCTATAGTGGTAGGGGCAGATATACCACCAGACGGTCACTATGGTCTAGCAGTCTAGCAAACTATCTTACATTCCGATGCTCACAGGTTCGATTCCTTGTATGGCACAGACATTTGTATTCACCATTATGATTGTATACTATGTATCTATTTACAAAAAAAATGTATATATGTATTTGTATCACTTGTCTAGTGTCCATAACACAAGTTCTGCTTATCTTGGGACTAGATGGTGCTGTTTGAATTGTCCTGAGACATTATTATTATATTATATATTATTATACCATCTCTCAGATTAATTTTTGGCTTTATATTATTGATACCTTCATCAGAGTCTTTTTCTAATATGATGACTACAAGTAATTTTATATTAAATAACACTAGGTCAGATTTTAAAGCAGTTCTAGGTTTGCATTACAGTCTGCTCTAGGTAGTGGCTTATAATAACTGTTTGCTCACTGTTTACAGTGACTGATATAATAGTTTACCACACTGCCTTCCAATGGCAGCAGGTCTGATTCCTCACTCAATACAATAATTTGTATGAGTACAAATGAGTATGTATATTTTGTACTACCTTAAGGATTTTTTACATAAATTATGTTTTTTTAAACACATTTCTATATTGTTCAGCACTAATGATACATGCTATCAATTGTCCTGAGTTATTAGTATGTTCTTATAGTTATGTCTATTTATTATTTAAAAAAAGGATATTTATGAATAATGGTTTTTGTTATTTATAAATTCTATTAATGTTATAAAAATAGGATATATAATATTGATTAATTAAAGAAGTAATTAATGATAAATTTTGTAATAAATTGCCTGCATTTGTGAAAACACTTGTGTCACCTATTTCAACCATTAGCATTGTAGTTGATTTAGTTGAAGGGCATAGAAATTACACAATGAGAGATATGACATCTTAGTCCTTGGAATGGCCATGCATGCATGCAATGAATGGTATCATCGTATATAGGTATACATAGGTGGACAGTAAGTCTGTTTGCCATTTTAATTACATATTTTTTTAAACATTATCATATTTATTATTATGCTACTAGCTACTAGCTACTCAGTTTTATTATTATGCTGTTTATACCTTTTCAGTGCTTTCCATTCCATTTTATAGTAGTTACTAATAATTTATATTTATTATTACTTCATATTTTGTTCTGTCTTCCTTTTTCCAGTTCTAAATTATAGATCATAATGATTCCTCTGCTTCATCTATCTATGGATGTCAACCTACCTCTACTCAAAAAATAAATAATGGATATTATAAATTATGAGCTAGTGATTATAAATTAGTGCTTAGCCCACAATTATATACATAAATATAAATTACAACAAACATGAGTAAAAATACAAATAGTATATATTTGTACAAATAGTATATATTTGTCTTTTCCTTAATTAAGTATATTATTTCATTTTACGTAGTACCTACATACAAAATTCTAACAATGATAGTTTTGGGTTCTATGACATTGAATAAGTCGCCGCAATATTTTTCTTGTATATAAAGCAACCAGTTACAGTTTCATTATTATATGTATATTTTTATATTTACTATTCCTCATTTTCTGATATAACTGAACTATCTGAGATCAGAAAGTATTGTTATTGTGATATATAAATATATTATTTAGTTAAGCTTCATAATGCGCTGTTTATTACCTGCTTAATATAATAGGGGTTAAAGTATGAAATTGACGTAATACAGTAATAGATACTATGAATTGACATAAAACCATGGTGTGATATTTTCGAGTGAAAATTTTCACACACACAAATGAGATTAGTCTTTTAAAACAATGTTTTAATTTAGACGTGATAGATGGAAACCTCAAAAATCCGAGTAATTTTTGAATACGAAGTCCGACGCGGAACCAACGCGGCAGTAACGGTTTACAATGTCAACGCTACGTTTGGAGATGAGAGTGCTAATGAACGCACCGTGCGTTTTTGATTCAAACGCTTTCGCAATGGAAACTTGGGAGTTGAAGTACTAACCATATGGAGGACCCTCCACACAGGTGAATAACGCTGAATTGGTGGAGATGGTGGAAGCCGATCCGAATCAAATCAATGAGGAATTAGCGGCATGGTTTAACTTTACATTGTAAACAATATTGACTCATTTGCATCAAATCAATAAGACAAAAAATATTGAAAAAGGGATACCTAATGATTTGACTGATATGCAGAATGAAATGCGTTTTGAATTTGTGTTGCCTTGTTGAATCGCCAGTTTGCCGAATCTAGATCCCCAGAGTTTATCATAAAGTCATAAATGAACTTCCGATTAGATCGCTACAATGTATAGATTATGAGGGTAAATTCATTCATTAATTTTGAGTAAGTAAATGTCACATCTGAAAAAAATAACGAGTTTCAATTTTTCAGTACATATAGGCAATTTCATACTTTAACCCCTAATAATATAATTTAGTTTTGCTCATTATAAAAATTACTTATTATGTAAGAACAAAATAAAAGATGCCTACAGACATAAAGTATGCACTGTCTACTACTGTATAACGAAAACTTTTTTTGCAGGAATTAATAATGTCTTATAGTGCGATGGTTTCCTATCATGCGTTGGGAGTAGTTGCCCGCATACGTCATAATGATCATTTGGCATTAGTGAAATTGATAACAAAATTAATCCAGAATCCACCACGCTCAACGTATGCAGTTTGTCTACTGATTCGTTATGCTGCCAAGTTAGCCGATGAAGATTCAACTGGTGCATCTAATGTTTTTATAGATTTTATTCATTCTTGTTTACGTCGTAAAAATGATATTATAGTGTATGAATCTGCTCGTGCCCTTGTCAATTTAAAATCAACAAACGGAGTTGGCGAGGCTTTATTAGCGCTTCAAATATTCTGTGGGTCATCTAAGCCAATCTTACGTTTTGCTGGGGTACGTACTTTAGCTAATCTAACTACGAAATACCCAGATGCTCTATATTACAGTAGGATGTTTTTAAAAAGTATAATATATGACTCTAATCACTCTATTGCTACTATGGCAATTACAATGCTTTTAGGAATTGAGTCTGAACTTATGATTGTACGCCTGATAAAACAAATAACATTATTAATGTCGGAAATGTCCGACGAATTGAAAATTGGCGTTATTTATGCAATCAGACCTCTTTTTTTAAAATACCCTAGGATGATTACACCTTTAGCATCCTTTTTAGCAGGTCAGTTTCAACATAAAGGTGGATTGCAGTTTAAAACAGCTATTGTTGATGTTTTACTTGCTATAATTGATGATAATTCCCAGTCAAAAGAAATTAGTTTAGGATTTCTTTGTGAATTTATTGAGGATTGTGAGCATACTTCTTTATCTGTGCGAATTGTATATTCCATAGGTGAACGGGCACCATATACAAAAAAACCATCTAGGTTTATTAGCTATATTTATAAACGTATGCTATTGGATTCAAGTCCTATACGTGCTGCTGCTGTAACTGCGCTTGCAAAATTCGCTGCAATTTGTAATGAATTGCTTCCAGACATCAAAGTGCTATTAAGACGTTGTTATGTAGATGACGACGATGAAGTTCGAGATCGCGTAATTTTTTTTAGTACAATACTAGAATGTGAGGATCCATCCCTTATAAATGCCTATATTACTAATACACCCCGTCCAAATCCAGTTTTATTAAATCACGCTCTTCGCTGTTATCTCATGTCAGACAATACAGAACCCTTTGATATATCCACCGTTCCAGTTGATCAGCCACATGAAATTCATAATGTTGACAGAAACAACACAGATAGGCTATCTCGCGAAGAAGAATATATAGAACAATTAAAAATTATTCCTGGCATTGAAGACATTGGACCTATCTTTAAAATTTGCGAGTTGATTTATTTAACAGAACCAGAAACCGAATACCGTGTTCACTGTATAAAGTACATATTTGCAAGGCACTTGATATTACAATTTGAATGTCTAAATACTCTGGATTATCAATTTCTTGAAAAAGTTCGCATTCGTTTAATATCTACAATGGGTTTTAAAATATTGGGTGAAGTTTCGTGCGATCAATTAATGTATGATAAAAAAGGAAGTATTTTCTTGCTGTTAGAATTTCCAGAAAGTCCTTTACAAACTTTAATTACATTCGGAGCTGTTTTGGAGTTTATAGTTCGTGATTGTGATCCGAAAACTGGACTTTCAAAAGATGGTTTAGGTTATGAGGATACATATTCATTGGAAGATATAGAGATTAGTTGTGATGACCAATTTAAGTTCAGTGTTCCGACTGATGATTGGGAGGTTTCATGGGATAGTTTTTCAACAGCAGTAGAAGCATGTGATACTGTTGAATTCAAACAAAAAAAAATAGGAGAAGTTGCACTAGCCGTTTGCGAGAATCTAGGACTCCACAAATCAGGCATTAAGGGCGACGCAGTCAAGGATATAAGAGCAGCAGGAGTATGGCGTGAGGGTGACCGTGTATTGCTTAAGGCACGTTTGGCTACTTCCCAAGGCAAAGTTACAATGCAACTTGAAGTTCGGTCCACTCGTGAAGATATCGCAAAGCTTCTCTTATTTGCTGTTGGTTAAGGAACCTTCAAATACGAATGTTGTCTTCTCTACTGCATCTAAGTGTTCTTTAATTGGTAGTTTTAGACATTGAATATAAGTAGCACGGTAAATTTAACTCTAAGCATACATAAAGATTGGATTGAACAAGACAACTTTCGTTGAGCGTAATTGCTTTGCGTTATGTACGAACTACTTAACAGTTACATTTATATAGAACTTATAAGATTATAATAACTGGATTGAACTGGCACTTGCGCCAAATTAATAATAATATTGATATTTATAATATATTGATACTGTGTTTTGCAATTTAATTTTGTTATGTAACGTATTTACTAATAAATATCACTTACAACTGAATTGAACTGGCACTTCTGCCAATTTAATAATAGTATCGATATTGAGACTGTATTTCACTATTTAATTTTATTGTGTAACGTAATTACTAATATATATCACTTAAGATTGTAGAGACTGGATTAAAGTGGCACTTCCTCAAATTTAATAATAACATCGATTTTGATCCTGTGTTTTATTATTTCACTTAGTAGCTAACAAATATCACGGTTCATGAGGATTAATTATATGTAGGTAAGATATAATATCATGGGCATAGCCAATAGTAACATTTTTCAAGTTCAGGGATGAATTAAAGGTTAGGTAGGAATAGTGATACAAATAAAAGAATAGATTTTGGTATGTGTTGTATAATTCAATGTTTTAAAGGCAATTTAAGATTGTCTTGTAATCATTTAGATATAGATACTGTGTGTCATATCATCATTGTATTTAAAAATTAATAAAGGAAATATGTAAAATTATGGTAGTATTATTTTATATTATTAAATACATGTGGTTAGTAACAACCCCCTTCCTCCAATATACTATATTGTAACAGGAAAATGTAGGAGGTATTTCCCAGTTCCAAAATAATTTAAACCTAATAAATTTACAGGCATCGGCCCTAAATTGAAAAGTTTCATATTACAGAATAAAAGCAAACGAAGCAGCTATGTGGCATTGATATGCAATGCTTGTTTAGTGTACAATAAAATAATTATAATTATTAAAAAAATAGATAAACAAAAATAATAATATATGACCTTTTTATATTCCACCTTACAGACGTAGCTAGAGTTCTTTTTTCAGTGGCTTTTTATGATTGTGGACTCCCTAAAAACGCTGTTGTAAATTGGCAAGTTATTAATTCATTCATAATAGTGCAAGTTTTACATAACAATAAAACTTGTATTATTGAGCAGAGACGATGCACAGCATCTGTGAGAGTGCGCCCGTAGTACTTCCCTTCTAATCTACCAATAGTAAGAACTTCCGGTTTTGTTTAGCGACTTCCGGTTCCGTTTAAGAACTTCCGTTTCCGTGTAGCGACTTCCGGTACTAATTATTTGCTGTCTTAGGAGGTGTGTCGACCAACGACCACCAAGCCTTATAGCAGTCTCACCAGGAGACCTAAATTGGATGCTGTGCATCGTCTCTGCTCAATAATACAAGTTTTATTGTTATGTAAAACTTGCACTATTATCAGCATGTGAAGATGCACAGCATCTGTGAGAGACGTGTTTATAACTCCTGGTGAAGCAAATGACGCTATGTGATAACGTAATAACATATGCTATCTAGTATAATCAAGATAAATTATAAGTCTGATACTACACTAAGACATATAAGCCGATATATTCCAATATTTATATAAATAACATCATAATAATAGAACAAAATTTAAATTAAAATTATGGGTACAAAGTTATGTTATCGATGTCGTCAGTAAAGTGGTCAAGGGATACTGTGCTGGCCGCTGCCCCCGGAGTCGGAAGGCGCGTCGGCAGGCACCGAGTCGCTGGTACGCCCGGACGTCAATCTATCCTCCTCGAGGTGAGAGAGTGCCCTTTTCAAAGCACTCCCTACCTGAAGGGCCTCAATCAACGCCGCGGGCGCGTTGCGGGTGAAGGACCAGGTGCCTTTTTATAGGCACCACGATGATTCGTCCTGAGAAGGACGTTTAAACGATGCTGATGCGACGGTGACACGATGCGATGACACGATGCGTGAAGAGGATTGTGATGACTATACTTAACGACGGCGATGATGGACGGGCAGTGAATGAGAAAACGGTTCTTGTGGTTCAGAATGCAGAGGCGAGGAGAATTTCTTCAGTGGTTGATTCCTTTTCAGGTCGATTTCGCTATCCGAAGATCAATGTCGCTATTCAGAGGTTGAATTCGCTATGAATTGTAGCGCTTTTGGACGCTACTTATATACGATTTTTGGCTACTAGCCAGCGGACCCTTGGCCGCCCTATTCTCCTCACCCCTTTATATAATTTTTATTATATTTTATCAATCTTACATTTTGTGTTTACAATTTGTGCATCAAACGTCAATACCATCTTTAATTTACATTTCTATTATGATGTGTGCGCTGCGCGACGTGCGGTTTAGGAATAATTCGCGATTTCGCGGGTCGCGCCTTTTATATGACCTCGCTCCCCTTCCCCCTCATATATATATAGCGCGGGAGAGCGAGGTCGCGCGTCAGTCGAACGAATGCTGCCGCGCAACGCACATTACAATTATTATTACATATCTACAAATGAAATGATACTATAAAAAGATCCCTATGTATTTTGGGATCTATTTTTTATACTATATTCTATTCTGTTTCTATTTGCCGACCTATTTATTTTTAGGGGATTGAAACCACAACCATTATAATTATTTATTTGTCAAGCATTTTTGTAAATAATAACATAAAGAACTTAAATTTCTATAAACTTATCCCTATCAAATCTATTAATCTTAAGGTGTTACTATGTAACAATTGTACTATTTATAAATTTGCTATATCTAATCGAACTTATTTCTACAAACTATGACTATATATAATCTTTAAGCGGTGGTCCGGAACAGATACTTTTAACAAGGTTAAGTCAAGGACACGCCGTCCCGAGGCTAGCAGTAGTATACAAACTAATCTACGTGAGGCTTCAAATAGCGTTACATTTGTTGGCGGGTTATCCTGTAACCAACAAACCAGATCGCTAGGATCCCAAATGGGGGGTTTTTCTGTTCTTGGGTTTTGAAGAGAGATAGCCTTTAGCATATGTTTAACTAAAAACTTATAATTTAAATTTTCATTGTTTAATGTTCTTCCAAATGTTAATACTACAGATTTATGCAACAAAATAGTTTGATATGCTAATCTCTCCTCAAGCCACAAATAAGCTTAAAACCTAGTTAGATTTACTGTATCGGGATGTTTAAAGTTTATATTATTATTCTCACAAAACCTAACCCATCTATTCCAAGCTGGTTTGTAAGTTTTAATGTTGAATCTCTCCAACTAGATCTCAATAGGCTTAGTTCTTCGGCTGACCAGTTACTTGTTATGTCGCCCCACCCCCAATTTTCCAAACATACAATTTGATGTCTTGTATTCTCGGTGGAGGGAGGCCGATCTATAAGCACTTGAGATAAGTTGGACATTTTCATGGGTCTGCTCAATGCTCGTCGACGAAGATCCGGCAGCCAAAACACTTTCGTCCACATTGGGGCTACGCCAAGAAATACTCCTTGGGAGATATTTAAATGATTTAGTACCCGTGGTATCAGGTTCGGTGGTGGGAAGACCCACGACAACTAATAGTTCCATGGGCGGCTGAAAGCGTTGTGGAATAGTGCAGAGTTGTCCCGACAATCTTTTGCGACATATCTGTCTACAACTCGAGATTGTTTGGTAGCAAACAGGTCGATGTACGGCACTCCGAACTGACGAAAAACTTTTCCAAATCTGGCTGTTGAAGATGCCATTCGGCTGGTTGTTTCCCTTGCGACAGCTTGTCCGCAAAATCGTTGAACTTGCCTGGAAGATACTCCGCTGTCAAGGTCATTCTTTGATTGGAAGTCCACCTGCCTGACACCATTAGATCGTCCATTTATGCTCCCCAACCGTAATCCGCAGCATCTGTGGTCAAGAAGTATTGTACTGTCCTTGGATCCAGATCGCTGGATACCTTTCAGTCTTATCCACCACGTTTCGTTTATCCACCATTTTAGCTCTCGTTTATCCACCATGTTAGCTCTTCATGTACTAGTGCTGGGATGATCAATTGGGTCGGAGCAGATATTTTCGACAAACTCCGTGCATATAGCTGAAGCTGCCTGGAGTGCAGTCTGCCCCTGGGTATGACAAAATTTGCAACCATGGGTACCCATTATCACTTGTGCTTCCTTCAGTGTCATTGCTCCTTTGCGCATTATTTTTGTAGCGATTGCGATTTGCGACAGCTTTTTTCTCCGGTAAGCATTTCAGATTGTTGTTCGTATCCCACCGTAGTCCCAGATACTCTATCCCTTGTGTAGGTATCATTACTGATTTTTCGTAGTTTATCGTCCACCCCAGCTGTTCTAGAATTTTTATAGTAGCTCTCACCTGATCTTTGAGTAACAGCCGTGACTGACTTACTATAAGAAAATCGTCTAAGTAGACAATCACACGCATGCATCCGAAGATACTGTGCGATCCAGTTGGTTAGCGCCGCAAAATTTTTCGGGGCGCATGAAAGGCCAAAGGGTAGACAGGTCATTTGGAGTATCTGTTGACCGTAAATTAATCTGAGAAATTTTCGGTGGGTCTTGGCAATGGGCAGATGAAAGTAGGCTAATGAAAGGTCCAACTTTACCATCCAATCGTTTTTCTGCAGGAACTGTGGTATTAGAAATTGTGAAATCAATTTGAAAGGCTTTGGTAGTATGTACTGGTTCAAGCGCTTTAGGTTGAAAATAGGTCTCTGAGTCTCATCGTTCTTCCTTGTCAAGAACATTGTTGAGAAGAAACTGGGACCCGGATCCTGTTGGTCTGGAATTTCCAGGACACCTTGTTGCAACAGGATCTTTACCTGATCCGACATATCTGGAGACTGGGTTGTTCTGAAGCGATTTAGGGTTTTCGCCAATGGATGGACAAGTAGTGGTTTGGAGGTAAATGGTAGACGCATTCCCGAGATCATTCCGAGACGGGCCTCCGGAGCCCGAAGCGCCTGCCACTGCCACCGATACGCTCGAAGACAGCCTCTATAAAACCTGGGTTGTGTGAGTTGCGAGTCATTTATCGAATTTCTTTTTGCCGGGTAGGCTGTCCTTTCGATGATAAACTTTCTTCGATCTTTTCTGCTCTGGGCGATAGGTAGTTGAAAAGTTTTTGTTCTTCCTTGAATTTGATGCGTGCTCTTGATTACGAAAGGACTGACTAGCCTCACGTGACGGACCAGGTTTACTATGCTTATAGCAAGGTTTAGTATTTGGTTTATAGAGCTCTTTTTCCGAGTCAAACCATGGTCGAACCCATTTATCCATCCCACCTGTGTTTGCAATGTAAGCATGCAGGTGAGTTTCATTAAACCCAGGTACCCAGAACTTGGAGGTATCTTACGGACGGACCCTCACGTACATAAGTTCTTGTTTGGCAACTCACCCAGGATACGCTCCCGGCGAGTTTCGATACATTCTGCCCGCTTACCGCAAACTATTTGCATAATTTCTTCACTTACTATATGAAATTTAGAATTAGGTTGAAATAATTCTGAAATTTTATCAAAAATATTTCCAGCAGACAGAGTTGTATCAGGGGCTGCCGCCCAGTCAACCAGTTGTTGCAGGCTTTGATTCAATAGATCACGCTATGTTAACAATCCATTACAAATAGCAGCTACAATTTTTTCGGATTTAGCTGAATAGTCTTTACCTTTTTGGAATTGTCTAAGTTCATCATTTATATCCAGCTCAACAAAACCAGGGGTGGCATAATGTATTTTCAAGGCGTCAGTATATCGAACCTCTTTCCAAGATGGATCACCCAATTTTTGCAGCAGTTCTAATCGCTTTAAGTGCTCGGGGTCCGCCCGAGGTATTTTAGGGTCTTTAGAGGTTGTATTAACTTGGCCAAGATTTAAAAACCGCGTTTCATTTGGTACAACAGCCATTGGGCGCCGTAAAGAAAAATCGGAGGACACCATTGCTAGGCATATTCTGAATTTCTTCCGTTTGAAAAGACGGTAGACATGAATTTTGCAATAAAATATTTGTCAATGCATTAACTTTGTACATAAGATTCTGTATATCAAAATCTGACTCACCTTGTCTTTTTCTTTTTACCTGGTGGTCTGAGGAATCCAATGAAGCGGAAGCAGAGTCGCTACCGCTTCATTGGATTCGCAAAAGAAAACCGGAAGTTCTTACTATTGGTAGATTAGAAGGGAAGAACTACGGGCGCACTCTCACAGATGCTGTGCATCGTCACATGCCGTTAGTTTTATTTTTAAAATCTACCTAATTTTAAAAACGGCCGGTTCACTAACCATTCGTGATCAATTTCACCCTACCTAAAGTCTATACATATAAATAAACTTGCGAGTGTATGTTTGTAATATTGAAATAACCGTTTTTACTACATGCATATGAATATAAATATGGTATGTATACCAAAATATTATTTTTACAATTTTTGTCTGTCTGTCTGTACCGGCTAATTTTTGAAATGGCTGGACCCATTTTGACGGAACTGTTTTTGGCAGGTAGCTGATGTAATAAGGAGTAACTTAGGCTATTTTTATTTTAATAATCTTTTTTAGAAAAATAACGTTAAATTCCACGCGAACGAAGTTTGATTATGATGGATGAATGTTTGTTACTCTTTCACACAAAAACGGGTTTAGATGAAACTTTACAGTAATATAGCTTATACATTAAAGTAACATTTAGGCTAGGCTATAAATTTCACGCAAGTGAAACCACGGGCACAGCTATTCCTAAATAGAACCATGTTATTCTTTGATGGTAGTAGGTGTTTTTTTATAATTTTGGCAATGGGTTTGTGTTGCCCAATATGATATTGAAAGTGTCAATAGATGGGTAAATAAAGATTTTTAATATATTCTAAAGCGTTGAGCAGTGAAAACAGATATTTCACTAGGAAATTTATTTTAGACTTCAAACTGCGCATGATATACCAACATATCTATTTCATATTACATTTAGATTTTTCTAAATAGTAATAATATAAAGTTGCAACGACATTATTTAAATGTTTATTATTTCAATAAGCAAACATATTATAGTGATTGTTTATAAATACATAAATTATAGGTGATTAATACTACTTACATTGTCTATCTTGATATGTATACCTATATAAACTATTATTTGAATTAATATATATACTCCATACTTGTGATGTTTTCATTTTATCGAATATATCTACATAAGACAAACTCTTTCGCCATATATGTATATACACAACATGTTGAAAGAGTACAATATCCAAAAATCTAAACTATTATAAAAGCGGAATGATTTGATTTTGTTTATAAAGGATAAACTAAGAAAAAATTATGTCTACTGCAAATATTTACTGACTAGTTAAATGAATACACAGTTAATTGTCAATTACATTTATTTCAGAAATATTACACAGGCTTGAAATAATAAAACAAAATTTCAGACAGTACATTAAATAAAAAGAAATGAACAAACCCACGGCGCACCAGTGGTTCGACCCAGAAACTTATTTTGCACTATTTGCAACTTATTGATGAGATAGTGAGCTATATGAGCGAATACGGGTTTGGCGTAAGTCATAATTGGATGGATGAAAGCCTTGTATAATATCAGCTTATTACGAAGCGATATTTGATTGTGTTTGGGGTAGAGTCGCCCTAGTAACAAAGCGGCCCGGTCGTGGACTCGTTTGATGGGGTCGACGCTAAGGAATCCGAGGTATTTCATGTGAGAATAGTAGTGGATGCTTTGGCCGAAGACGATATATATTACAGATGATATTGGCATATGTACATATAAATATTGATCTTATATACTAAATGACAATAGGAAAATGTAAGGTGGGGTGACACAGTATAGACACGGCAGTGCTTAGTAGACAACATTGAATTTGTCTGACTAGGCATATTTAATTGGAATTATTATTTTGATGTACACAGCTTCTAGAACTGTGTCCTTTACGCTCTTGGAGTGTATAAACTCCTTTAGGCGGACGAGGAGTTTTTTTTTGTTTTTTAAAGGATGATAATGGAATGGTGCACCTACCTGCGCTAACGGTTTTTACTGGCGGAGCACCAGTGAAAGATGATTACATCAACATGAAGGAGTCGCTCGTACAGCTTGCCTATGGTTTTTTTTGAGGAGGCTGATAGAGCGGTAACTTGGAGGGCTTGGAGTTATTTTTAGCGGGCTAGGGGATACCAATGACCACGGCTTCTTTCCAACTGTCTGGAAATAGGGCTTTAGACAACGCCGCGTTAAAAATAGCGACGAGCAGAAGTAAGAGTCGGGAGGGCAGACTTTTAAGTAGTCTGTTGGACATGTCGTCAGAACCGGGCGACTTTTTGATAGGTAGCTGTTTAACTAGCTTTTGGATCTCATAAAGCGTGACTGGTGAGAGATATTCGGTGAGGTCGACGCGATGCTTGTGACTTAAGAAGAGGTTACCGGTCGGTGGTCTGAGTTGAGCATGGCATGGACTTCTGGAGAGCTCAACCGTAGGGTTATGTTCCGCAGCAGTGCCGAGTATATCGGGTCGGGACTCTGATGCGGGAACGCGATTGGTATACACTATGTACCTCGTGAGCGGGAAAGTTCTGGGACTGCAGGATAGATAGATAGCTCCGCGTATGGAAGTACTGAGGCGGGCGCTCCGACGGACCAGTGTCATAGTATATTTGGGTGGCTCGCTTGTGTTTGGCTTCTTTCTGTAAAATATAATATAATGTCATGTGTTACAAGGCACAGATTATATTTTATTCACATCATCACATATAATAAGTGATCTGTAGGTAACTTGAAAATACAAATTGGCTATTATCTAAATTAAAAAAAAGTTATCAAATTAAGTTTCTTGCCAGTTCTTCTCAATTTAATCTGTATACTGAACTGGACGGAAGGGAATAAAATTATAATATAAATATATTGATATTCATAACCATCAAAAATGTCTTAAATGAATAACTGATTTTTTATATAAAATTTAAATAGAATAAAATAGAATTATTAATGATTTGCAGAATATGGTACCTTTTTTAAATAAAAGGGTATTAAAAATTACAAGGCAATAAGCATAATGACAAACATATATAAAGTATTTTCAATTTGCAAACAATTAGTATTATTTTCCAATAACTTTATGCTGCAACAATTGTTAGACCATAGCTTAAGAATTGGGCTCACTATAAATTCTACAAAAATAAAAATATATGACTAACACAGAAAAAGTACAAATATTTATCAACAAACAACTACTATATATGTACAGGAATATATATCTATGCGAAATAAAATTAACAGTAGACATTATGTAGAAAGAAATATAAAGATGAATCATAAATTTATGGAAAATATACTTAAGCGTAATTTCATTAAACGAAGTGATAAAAAATAAAGATATATATATACCATTGACAGAAAAAATTAAAGCGAAAACTTTAATTTTTTCTGCTTGCTTCCTGCCTTGTTTAACATATGGGTGTCAAACTTGCAGTACTACAGAAACATATATGCAGAGACTAAGAGTATGTCAAAACTCAATAGAAAGAAGTGTTATTGGTGTTAAAATAAGAGACGAAATAAATGAAAAAAAAATTAAATGTTGAACACATTTTAAATGATGACGACAAGTCATATGATTCACACAGACGGACAGGTGAATAGGCTATATCTTCTATAATATAAAAATGAATCGCTAATCTCGAGAACTACTGAACAGATTTCGATAATTCTTTTTTTTATATATTCCTTGAGGTACGAGGATGGTTCTTACGGAGGGAAAAATTTTATAAACAACACTATTCTGTTTATCCCATACAAACGATTCTTAATGATACTTACTACTAATAAAAATATGTCAACTTAAAGTTAACAATAATAAAGGCTTTTATATTATTATTATTGTTATATATAAAAAAACATGAATAAATACTATATATATATATGTCAAAGTTTGTAATTTAAACACAGTTGGGCAAGTAACATACTTGTGTTACGAGTAATTCAAACTAATTCAATATCACAGATAGTGACATACCTCTGCACCCCTCGCAATAGACTCCTCCCAGAGCTGGACGAAGTAAGCGGTACACTTCCAATACACAGTAGTCTTGTAGGTGGAAGGAAAATAATCTCGCTCGACGCTAAGCCATCTCGCACATTCACTAAATCACTGTAAATTTAAAATGATCAAATTGAAGACTTTTATATTGACTTCTTCTTTCGTTGATTCTCTGTTTACTACATTGAATATTGTAAAATCGTTCTTAATAGTATGAGTGAATAATTTGTTTTAGTTTTGGCCCGATGTGGCAGAAACTGGCATATTAGCTCCAAACTGAACTAAAATATTACTGCTTTAAAATTTAACTATATAATTTTAACAAATTAATCAGTTCAGGCCACAAATTATATGAGGTCAGACATTTACTCTGCCCTAACAAAACAAGTCATTTAGATCAGACTCATCATTTCAATTCATTGCTGATCATGAGTCTTATTGGAGACCAGTACAAATACAATTGCTCATTTCACTCTTTCTTATTCTATTAAAATGCACAGTAGATATTGAACATCTCACTGGTGGTTGGCTTAAGTTTAACATAAAAAACTATTTGCATTTGATTGACAATCAATATAGTCTCTTCTTTAAAAGTTTTTTAAGGTAATTGAAATCAGTTTGTAATTTCTTAACTTCATCAATAGGTTTCTTAGCTACTACTATCATTTTGTACAAACAACCAATTACTGATTCCTTGTTTGTCTGCATTTTTGTGGCACTTTGATAGAATTTCAATAATTATCCAACAATTGAAATACATTTTTCTAGGGACTAGTAGTTTAATAGTATTTTATTGTGCAACACTTTTTCTGTTCATTGTAGAATTATTTGTTTCAATTTTGTCAAGTTTTGGTTTATTGTTGTGAATATTTGAATTATTACTACTTGTAGTCTCCAACTTTTAAATTATTTCTTAACAAAATTATGTGTAATTATGTGATCATTTATGGGATTTCTTTGATTTCCATTATTTTTAAAGAAATTCATATGTGCAAGATTTTTAACTAGACTATACAATTTAATGCTATAGATAAATTTGTTTGGTAGAGATTTATTAGATATCAAGTAGTTCCGTGTGGTAGGGCCACATGGAACTACTTGACTTGTTGTTATATTCTTCAAGTTCAGTTCTCTTAACTGGCAAAAAAAAATTGAATACATAGTAATGAATATAACATTTGTATAAAATAATAATTAATATATTTATTTATAGAAAAATAAAATATTTTACTTCCAAGAGGGTAAATCCTTATGATTGCAAAATTAAGAATATTAGTGAACATATTGATATACATACATTAAATAAATAAGAGTGTATATATAGGATAATATATAAGACTAGTGGACCGAACCGGTGTTGCACTGGTGGGCATTTTCACATTTTACATTTTTATCTAATCCTACCTAATTAAATTGTCTAAGTTTTTTTTTATATTTTTCCTTTTTTTGATATAATACATATTTGAAAAATTCTAAATGTCATCTGCAGGTATTGAAACTATTTTGAACAATATGATTTATTTGGATAAGGATTGAAACAGAAGTATCAATAACATGGTGTAAATTTGGTCAGTATAGTGGGACATATAGTATAGCCAAGTTTTTTGTAGTTATTGATATTTTCTTCAATATTGTAGAACATACTTTAGTTTTATCACCAATAGTTTCAGTAGCACTCGCGACGAAAGATATTTCATAGAATTTTTTACACTTTATACCTTATACGAAAACATTAGTTTTCGTAAGAATCCCTAATCTTTTCTAGCAATAAATATAGCTTATATTGCTCAGGGCGAATGTATCTAATGGTGAAAGATTGTTTTGAAATCTGCAAAGTAGTTTTTGAGTTTATTCATTAACAAGCATACATACACACATAAATACAAATCTTTACTCTTTATAATATTAGTATAGATATAGAAGTACAGATTAAAATAATTTTCAAAGTGTGTTTGTGTATGCTTTTACATAGATATTATATATTTTTTTAAATAAAACCCACATTATTCATTACCTTATTAGACTCTGGGTGTACATGGTCTTTGGTACATTCTTTTGAGTCCTTCATCTTCTCTTTTATCTTCTAATTGATATCTTCAGTACATTGAATACTATGCACAATATCCATATCACTATGTTGTATACCTAAAATGCCAGTACAATATAAAAATATGTTGTTATTGTTATTATATCTATTTAACACTTATATATGGTATTCAATCTAGTGGATGATGAATTTAAAACAAATTACCTACATATTGTCGATGATGAGTTATAATCATTGGTTAATTCGACCCAAGCTTTATTTTTGGCTTCATATGTTGAATCATCTCTTTTTTTATTTATAATGGTTTCTTTGTGTGAAGCCAATAGCTTTACTATCCTATATAGTTATTACCTTACCTTAGTAATATTTTAAAATAATCTTAAAGTTTTATTTAAGATTATTTTATCATGAAGATCAACGCCAATGAAATTCAAAATACTTTAAATTTTTTTTTCCCCATATTCGTCCATTTCCTTTTCAGTGATGGAACAGGCAAAGATCCTTAGACCGTACAGCCTAGTCTACGTTTAAACTTCAAAATACTTTAAATAAAAACTTATTGACTTTTTGTGAACTAAACTGTCAGTCAGTGTCAGTTTGAGAGCGGCAAAAGCATTGCGTTCCTACAGCCAATACACATTGTAGTAATTTATTGCTTCTGACAGCAGTTTAAAATCGTTTCGATAAAAGAATAATGTTAGTGTTTCTAACTGTGATCTATTTATGCATTTAAAATCAATAAAATTAATAATAAATGATAGACCGTGTTGACAAAAAGAGGTTTCATGTACTAACATATTGCCAAGGGCAAAATGATACAAGAATATTATAATAAAATAAATAAAATACAATAATTAGCTTCATATTAATAGTTATCTTAATACTAATAACAATTCCGGTAGATTAATTAAATCCCGGTAGGTAAAATTACAATTTTTGATGTATACATTTCTGATTATCTTACCCAACAGCTAGTGAGGTGGTGAACGATTGGATATTATTAAGGCTGTGAGAAGAATCGTTTTTTGTACTTCTATAAAATACAGCAAGTAATTTATTTGTAATCATATTTAAACGTAAAACTCCATGATAAGGAATAAAACATTTTAGTTTATTTATTTGTGTACAATGGTTCACAACTTTTTCGGAACCTAAATTTTAATATTTATTTATTAAATCACAATACAGGTTATACAAACGTTGCAAAGGTAAAACAAACGAGTCTGCAGAATTAATACTATCAATGTTTGTTATTAATGACAATTTTATATCAAAACACTTTTTTATCGAACTAACGGACTCTTTGAAAACAGTCTCACTACATTTATGCTCGGGGAGGGATTCGTTAAAACTTTCTTACTTCGCCTCCCATAAACGTTGACTATTGCATTCTAAATCAAAGTGTGAAGTATGTAAAACAACTGCATTATTTAATGATTCAACATTATTGAATGACCTATATGAACCAGAAACAATGTAACCAAATCGAGTGTTAAGCAATATAGGATCACATGGATTTCCTTCAATCTTACCATATTTTAATGCTCGAAAGAAAATATCCGAGGAAAGCAAGAGGTCCACTTCACCTGGCATATGAAATTTAATGTCTGTCAAGGTAACATGTTTGGGTACATTGAAATTATTAATGTCAATGTAATTATGGGGGAGTTTTGTTGTAATGGTGTCAATACATTGAATACTATCACTATATATACAATCACGTCAAAATAACTTAGAAATATGTTTTGTACCCGAAAAACGCGGTGAGAATCTAATTATCTTATTTGAATCAATTACGACAGTGATTAAATACCCAATAGAACGCAAGGACATACTAGCTATTCATCGGGTACCACATGCCCGTTCTGATGAAAATAATCGCCCAAAAAATATTATAGTGAAAGTGTCATCGCGTTACCTTCGGGATAATATACTGAGTGCGTTCCGCTTATCCAAGGGACTTAAGACTGACGATCTGAATATTGTGGGTAACTCACGGAAAATATACATAAACGAACATCTTACATTACAAAACAAAAAGTTGTTTCGAGATTGTCGTGAAGCTGCTAAGTTGCATGGATATAAGTTTGTGTGGATCAAAAATGCCACTATACTGGTTCGTAAATCGGAGACGTCGCCAATATTCGCGATCAGGTCTCAGAGTGAAATTGGAAAAATTAATAAACTTAAAGGACAAACAACTAGTTCTAATTAAATTTTCGCTAACAATAACTATGTATTCATGTATAGGTATTTATTTATTTTTCTACCGAAAACTATGTGACAATAACACCTGCAATATTAATATTAATTACACCTGTATTCACCAGGGTCATTGCACTCTATGTTTACTTTATAATGGCATGGGTATTTGCGTCGTATTGGATAGCCCTCCTCGTATTAGTACTAAATATATACTTTACTTATTAGTTACGATACCAATTGCTCATAATTTTAATTTATATGTAAAAATAAAAGCAAAATGGCTGCAATCTATATGCGACTCATTATCATATCTTGCGTTCCATCACAACATGCTTAACCGGACTTCTAATATAATAATCGCCGTCTGTCTATTTTTCATCACGTCAGTCTACTTACGGGGTAGGCAAAGAACATTATGTCCTAGCATTCAACTCTTGTCCCAATCACTTTTATGTAAGAAATTAAGTAAGGTGATATACCTTTGGTTGTGTGTATTGTGGCCTGTACGCATAAATATTACATTTAAAATAATCTGCCTGTTTTTAAAGTGGCGCACGACACTGTGACTTCATTATTCTATCAGAACTGTAGAGGGATTCGTACCAAACTTCAAATACTATACATGAATATTCTGTCGCATTCATATGATGTAATTATACTGACTGAGACATGGCTCACTCCACACATTGCAAATAATGAGTTTATTGACGATCGGTACGTAACGTTCCGTTGTGATCGCAACCGTTCTTTAACTAGTAAACAAGACGGCGGCGGAGTCTTGATTGCAGTGAGGCGTGATCTGCGCCCAGTCAGTGTCACTACTGACTGCGCTGTTGGCATCGAGCACGTCATCGTTGCGCTCCCGACCGACCCACACAATAGTAAACAGCATATTATCAGTGCTGCCTACATACCGCCCCGAACGGTGGACCATGCTTATTTAACACATTTTAATACACTGCGTGATATCGTGATGCGAGACGGTGTTGATTCATTTCATGTGTTGGGCGATTACAATCTGTCACATATCAATTGGATATGCAATGACCGCAATACTGGTATGGTGAGTATGGGGAGTGGTGATGTGTGTTCATATATATGTGATTTTATGGCATATACTGATTCATTTCAATACAACAACATATTAAATCAAACTGAAAGAGTACTTGACCTGTGTATATCGAACATGTCCACTGATAATTTGATGCCATGTATACCTTTGTTACCGCCTGACAAATATCACCCGCCTTTTGCGGTGTTCATGTCATTGAATACACATTTTACTCCTATGAAACATAACCTGGCTATTAAATATAAATATAATTCAGCCAATTATGACACTATAAATGAAGAGCTTTTTAAAATAGACTGGGAACTAATTTTACGTGGTCTTAGTGTCAATGAATCGGTAGACCAATTTTATAATATTATTTACACAATCATAAGAATGCACATTCCCACTACACGCCGTATGTCTACACGTTACCCTGTTTGGTTTTCTCCTGCATTAATTCATATATTTAAAAATAAAGAGAAGGCGTGGAGAAAATGGAAACAATATAGTAATATAATTGATTATGAGTTATTCTCTAAATATCGCTCTAGATTTAAATCTGAGAGTAAAAAATGTTACTTTGGTTATATTAATCGAGTGGAAGATGGGATTAAAACTAATGTTAAATATTTTTGGACTTATATGTCAAACTGCAAAAATACTTCCACAATACCGGCCACAATGCATTACGAGAATTCATCTGTATCAGAACCTACAGAAATATGTAATGCATTCTCTTCCTTTTTCAATTCATCTTTTGAGCCGTCAACATTGAATCTTAAGGAATGGCATCCGAAAACTTCTTTTGCCAATAATTGTGATATTATAAATGATATCGAATTAAACCTTAAAATGATATCGAAAGGATTAAGTGACCTAGATATCTCCAAAGGACCAGGTCCAGATGGAATACCTGTAATTTTTCTTAAGTCTACAGCTAACGCTTTATCTAGGCCTCTACACATTTTATATAATAGATGCCTAAGACAGGGTATTTTTCCTACATTATGGAAACATGCTCATATAACACCAGTGCATAAAAGCGGAGATAAACACAATATTGAAAATTACCGACCAATATCTATTCTTTCTATATTGGCAAAACTATTTGAGAGCTTAATACATAATGTTATTTATCCTAGTCTCCATCGTGGTATTATGTGTGAACAGCATGGTTTTGTTAAGCGTCGATCGACTATAACTAACCTTATGATTTTTACTAATGATCTATTTGAAAATATGGATAGTCGATTGCAAACTGACGTTATTTACACTGATTTTAGAAAATGTTTTGATAAGGTAGATCATGAACTACTTCTCAATAAAATAGCTTATAACGGCATTCGAGGTGACCTGCTGAGATGGTTCTCATCTTATATATCAGGCAGAACACAGACAGTAGTCGTCAATGGTTTTAAGTCAGATATAGTCAATGTATCATCTGGGGTTCCACAAGGTTCTATCCTTGGACCTTTATTATTTGTTCTATTCATCAATGATGTAAAAAATTGCTTTCTAAATTCAAGTTTTCTGATGTATGCGGACGATTTAAAGATTTACAAAGTTATTAGAAATTTTGATGATCATATCCAACTTCAACAAGATTTAGATAGATTTTCTCACTACTGCATCAATAATAAGCTGCAACTTAGTCTTACTAAATGCTGCAACATAAGTTTTACAAAAAAGAAATATAAATTTAATTATAACTATAAATTATTAGATACTGATTTGAAAACCGTTACATTAGTCAAAGATTTAGGTATTTTATTGGACTCAAAGTTGCACCTCGATGAACATATAAACTCAATTAAAGATCGTGCAATGAGAATGTTTGGCTTTGTTATGCGATCTTCTTGTGACTTTAAGCGACCCTCTACACTTCTATTTCTCTATAAATCTCTTATAAGATCCCAACTGGAATATGCGACCCCTGTTTGGAGTCCGGTATTTAACAAATATATAGAGATGTTGGAGAAAGTACAAAGTAAATTTTTACGAACAATTGATTTTAGATGTTGTCGCCTCAGGCTATCGTACACACAACTATTAGACAAATACAGGATGCTGTGTTTGGAACGTAGACGAATTTTGCTTAATACTATGACCCTGTATAAAATAAAATTTGTGCAAATACATTTGATTGTACTGAGTTAACTAATAAGCTGTGCTACGTGGTACCAACCAGTGTGCACCGTCGTTCGGTAAGGGTACGCCGTGTATTCTTCACCCCAACCTATCGGACGTACGCCGGT